TATATACTTTGAGACAGGGTCTCATTGTGTCTCCCATGCTGGAGTGCAGCGGCGTGATCTCGGCTCACTGCAACTTCTGCCTTCTGGGTTTAAGTGATCTCCTGCCTCAGCCTCCCGACTAGCTGGGATTACAAGTACCTCCCATCATGCCCGGCTAAATTTTGTACTTTTGTAGAGATGGGGTCTCGCCATGTTGGCCAGGCTGGTCTTGAACTCCTGACTTCAGGTGATTCACCTGCCTTGGCCTCCCAAGTGCTAGGATTACAGGCATGACCCAGCCACCTGGCCTAGAAAGTATAATTTTAAAGTCCTTATAAGATAATGCAAGTTATAGGGCAAAGAATTAAAGTCTTGGCTCTGTCACCTATTAGCTGTGTTTTCTTGAGCCAATCACTCACTCTTTCTGAATTCTAGGTTCCTCATCTACAATGGGAAGATTGGATGAAAGAAGGCATGTAAAGTATACAAAGTACCCTGGTAACTATGCGCACTCAAAAACTGTTAGTTATCATCATCATCATCAACATCATGACCACATAACAGGCCCCTTATGTATATTACAACTCATTTATCTACTACAACAAACTTTTCCGCAATTCTATGGGGCACCCCCAAGTTCTTAACTTCTACACTGCTGTATTGTGGTAGGTACAAAATATAGTAGTGTTAATTGAATCTGAAAATAAGAAATGAAAATGAATCAGAAAATAGAAATGGAAAATGTATCTAATTACTCAAAACTTTTGGCTACATACAAACTAACTTGAAATTCCAGTCTTCTACCACTTGTAAATCTAGTGTTCACTCACCTATATCCCGCTCTCACTATTTCTTCTCTTTCCAGGCTGCTTCCCTTCACTATCAAATCGCCTTGTGTTCACAGTCTCTACCTCCTTAACATTATGTTTTACTCTCTGATTCACTGCAGTCAGTCTCTATTTCAACTCAACCATTTTCCTGCAAGTACTCTTGTCAAGGCCATGACTTCTTTCATCTCTACTGCTTTGTCACTGAAGTACTTGGCCTCTCTTCTGAGACTCTTCTCATCTAGTTTACCCCATTTGTGTCTAGTCTTAACGTTTCAGTCTTACATGTGGAGGCCTCCTCCTATTCCTGTTCTTCAGTGTTGAATATCCCAAATTATCTGGTATCTGGTGGTCTCTCTACTCTCATTTGTCACCCCTGTCTCATCCCTACATGATATGCAGTTATGTATATTTATGATGATCTATATACCATAATTTTTTGCATGTAACCATTATACCATAGAGCAATAATAGAACATTTGGTCCCCTCTATTATAGTTATGCATTAACAAACAGTACAATGGTTAGTGGGTCATAATAGGTTTCTCATCAAAAAAATCACTGAAGCATTTTATAAGGCTCAATGTTACTTTATAAAATAGAGCAGTACTTAATTAGTTTTTAAATTAAAAATTACAATATCATATTGTGATAAATAAAATTGAATGGGACACTGATTATTTCAGAGCACCCAACCTCACCACAAGAAATAATTTGTTACTGATAATATTAAGAACTGAAAGTTATGAGGTCATTTTACAGGGCAGGTAAAGCATTAATATTAAATGTTTTTTAAAGACTTGAAAAATATTCTTTAACTGGCTGTAATCCAAAACAGCAGAATTTAGAATAATAAACTTACCAAAGAGCTTGATAATAAAAAAAATAGGTAAAAACTTGATATTTTACCTCAAAAATTAAAAAAACAAATCAAACCTTAATGAAACAAATCTATTGTTAAAGACACTAGAAAGTTAAATTTAGTTTTATCTACTAACATGAATGAACTTCTAAAAAGGTCTGATCAAGTCTGCCAAAAGAAAATGGAATTAATTTGTTTACAAGTCACAACTTCCTTGTTTACTCAACATTTTGTCTGATAAACCAAACTACTTCATACTATGTGTAGAGTTTACCTATGTTAAAGCAAAAGAAGATTTTCAGGAGTACACAACTTTCTCTTTCAAAACAGAAATACACCAGTTTTCCAGATAGTAACTATCTCAATTTTTTTAAAAGGCAGAGCAAGAAAGATACACACACAGACATATATCATGTACACACATAGGTCTTCTCTTTTATGTTTTTCCTGGAAATACTGCTTTTCTAAATAAAACTAGTGAAAACTTTAAGTTCACAAAAATACTTAAGAGAGATAACCTACCTCCATAAACAATTCCAAATTGTCCAGAACCCAGTACTTCATCAGGAAAAATCTGATATACTGTGCTGATGTCCTAGAGGTACAAGTTCAATGAAAAACAAACATAAAGCAGAACAAAACATTAGTCCTAAAAAATTATATAATTGTATTAATGTATCATAAATATTATTTAAAAATAAATTATAGATGCTAGATGAAATTTGAAATGACTATAATATTCAAAGCACACTCTTTAATTTTTGTAATAATGTAATGTTTTGAAAACTGTTCTGATCCTAAGTGGCAGAGGTTTTCTAACATGCTAGCACATATGTTTCATTAGAAAGAAATATGACTAAAAACCATACAATGTGATTTACTGTAAGTATTAAAAAAGATATTTGCCTGTTGAGGTGGCTACTTGGAAATTTCATTAAATAATCACGGTTCCCAATCACATGTCTGCGTGAATCCTGCTTCCGACCATTTCTCCCTGTATGTCTAGACTGGAAAGGTTGCTCCCTTATTAGTCACCCACATGCAGATGAACCTGAAGTGACGGAAGAGGAGGCTGAATCACTGTGAGTGAGCTGGAGATGCTGCAGAAGGATGGCAACCCATATGAAATTCTCATGTGTGAAGTAGCTAAACTTGTCCAATTTTATCACTTCAGGAGGTAACAAATTCCAAAAGTCTAATTCTTTCTCTTTGAAATAATAACTGCTGAATAAAGCACCTTTTTAATATATGTTTTGCAGTCTGTGATTTTATCAGACAATTAAATCACAAGGTAATACTTTTTACCTTTATATAACCCCATTACAACCCATCAGATTTTCCACCTGTCTTCTATTCTTGTACTTTGACTTTATTTTTTTTTAAGTCTTTTAACATCAAATCCTACCCTTTCTGTATCCTATAAACCCTTATCCTTTTCCTTTGTCCTTCCCCCTAGAAAATAACTACAAGTTGTCTCCATCCTGTGATTCCTTCAAAGTACCCTCAGGATGAGTTTGTGGCTGTCTAGGGACAAAACAAGCAACATTAACATTATTCTGTTATTCTGAGTTCAAGCTATTTCATCTGATAAGAGAAGTGTTCTTTAGGCTTTCTGATAACTCAATGGCCAGTCCAGAAATTTCAGTAGACAACAGTGGCTGAAAAGGGTGGAATAACTCCACAGTTATCAGGCATTTCCCAAGAGGCGTATGGAGTAACTTGTATTTCCTAAAATGTTTCTGGCTAAGCAAGGGAAACAGGAACCTTCAGAAAAGAAATTTCTTTAGGAATCTATCTCACGATTGACAGCACAATAATTTATCTAACCTTCACTATGACGTTTACCTAGTTCTCTTTAATTCATATTTGGCTGTGTGTTTACTTTATGCCACTTTACTGTAGGCTTCAAAGACATAGTAAGGATTAATAGAGTTTCATGAAGATAATTTTTTAAACAAATCTTTCGAAAGTGTAAGCTGTAAACTGCATTCTTTTGGCCATAGGTACAGCAGACAAAATAGAGAAAAAGGTCTGGGTCATAGGAGGAGGTAGGAAAGGACTTATTACTTTTTGGTTACTTACAACAGGAGTAAAACATAACAAAACAAACACAAGAAAGTCTGTAAAATATTTCATAACATGTCTGATCTACAATTTTCAAAAACCAAGCTGCAATGATGGAGTTATGTGGCACAGGTGACTAGGGTGCTAAAATGAGAACCCCCAAGATTTGATTTATGCAACTTTCTTAGAAGTCTCCTTGATGTATACAAGTGACTATAAGAGCATTTGCAACTCCTTGTCATGTTATAGAACTTCTAGGTGGCAATAAGGAATGAGAACAATGGCATTTTTAAGCTACTCATGCAAATTGAGAAATGCATCTTATTTTGTTTGTGTATTTATTTTACTGTGTAATATCAACCATTACAATTCCAGTACCAAGCAAATATGTGAGAATTTCGGCATCAAATTATAGTTGCATAACTGAGATAAACAGATATTTGGTTCTACATTACAGAATCGATTACAGAAAAATTACTAAACAAATCTATATAATTTAACATTTCTAAAATCTTACAGAAAAAAAACCCAAATTCTATATTGCTTTCCAAAAATTACCAAAAAATTAAAATGAATTTAAAAATCTATTTTATGATGCTTTTACTTTCCAGTAATCACATTAACAAGTTTTATATTAGTAGGTGCATACTTACCACATTTTCTTGAATCTGGCAATTTGATACCGAAATACTCACAGCGACATCTCCTAGAAATGCATGTTAAACAACATGCACACAAAAAGTCAGTAAGAGACGTAATAGCAAAACAAGTAAATACATGCTTACAACTCACCCTGCAAAAGTGGTTTTAAATAAATCCTAGCAATTAGGTTTTTCTAAGAAAATGTCATTAGAATATTTATTTCCTTTGAAAATTATATATTCACCATACTTGGTTTAAAAAATAATATTTTGTCAGTTTAGAGTTGGGAGTCAGAAGGACTTGGATTCAAATACTGGCTTTGCTACCTTACAGCTTTGGTACAAGCTTAGACAACTTAATCTCGCTGGAGAGATACTGATTTCCTCAGTTGTAAAAAGGACAAATCATTAAAGTCTACCTGTTGGAACTCAAGTAGGCATTAAAATAGAGATCTCATGTAAAGTGCTTAGCACCAAAATAGGCAAATATATTCTATTAATATGTATTTCAGTTGTAGAGAGAAATAAAAAAATTGTGACAGATCAACAGATAACACTGTAATGTAAAAAAACAGAAGTTAATTCATAGGTTTCATTATGAGTAACGATTATGAAATTTAAAAATCACTTTTTTTATACAAATATTCCTCTAAAATTTCTTCTTTAAATTCATCCTCAACACGGGATCTAGGTTGCATTTTAGCAAATGTATTGCATTCTACTAATGAATAGAGATTTCTTCCTGGGATAAAATGATCAAGAATTACCAGTTACCATGTACTCTGCAAATCAAATACCCTACACAGAATACTAGGTGAGATGTTTTTAGGGAAACTTATTAATGCAGATTTGCAAATAACAAGACTTGCATTTCATGTCAAGCTAAAGCTTACTAGATTACTTATTCTTCTTATTATTTTTTTGAGGACAGGGTGTCTGTCACCCAGGCTGGAGTGCAGTGGCTTGATCTCGGCTCACTGCAACCTATGCTTCCTGGGCTCAAGCAATACTCCTGCCTTAGCCCCCAGAGTAGCTGGGATTACAGGCACCTGCCACCATGCCTGGCTAATTTTTGTATTTTTTGCAGGACTGGGTTTCACCATGTTGCCCAGGCTGGACTTGAACTCCTGGGCTTAAGTCATCTGCCTACCTCAGCATCCCAAAGTGCTGGGGTTAGAGGCATGAGCCACTGAGCCTGGACAGATTACTTCTTTTACAATCAGTAGCTCTAGAGGTCTGTAATTGCCTAATATATAGTGTTTACCTGTATTTGTTAAATTTTAATATAAAATAGCTACAATAAAATAGGATAATTTAACAAACTAAACATCTTAGTTTGTGCAGCAGCTTTTGTTTAGAGACCTTACATTCTCTAATAAACTAAGTCATCCCCAGGGAGTCTTTCTTCATTCTGTTCTTAGGAAGGGCAGGGTACATGTTTACTAAGCAAGGGGTAAGCAAATGATGAGCTTTGGGCTACTTAGAAAACTGTGACAGACTCACTGTGCAAGTTGGTTCCTGTACCCACGGACGAGCCCTTGGGAATGACGGGCATGAGGGCATGCTGGATGGCTATCTCCCACATCCTGGCCACATCTGCACCAACACCACTGGTGAGGACACTGTTATTTGGTGGTGGACTGGAAGGATTGACCACATTTTCTCCCACATAATATACTACATTTGCTGTAGTGATTTCAAAACAATGAGGATTGGCCCCATTAGGAATTAAAGCTGAAGTTTTTGCTGGTTCCAGAGATAAAATTTCGGATAAAGGAATTTCCTGTGAAAGAAAGAAAGTGCTAAATGTAGTTTATCAAAAGTATGTAAACTTTCAAAGAAAATTCATGCCAGGAACATGAATAGCCATCATTTATATAAAATATAGTTTTAAACTATAAAACAGAATATTGCTAAGCAAAATTAAAAAATACATTTACTATGGGAAACCTTATCATTTCCTTTTTCTAGAAAATGTGATTTTTTTTGCTATGTTCACGTAGCAAAAGTAAGTATGGTTAGAAATAATGATTTTGAATCTTCACCAAAATCCAACATTAGAAAACAAATGATAATTTTTATAGCAGTGAGGTAGAATCACAACACTTTTGAAATGTGTTTAGGTAGACAAGGCTATTTTTAAACTGTAATCTATTCTTTAAGGCACTGAAATGAATCATATAATTTGATTCAATATATGTTAATGTAATAACATAGCTAAGAGAATAGTTTAAGTGAGGACAACTACAGAGATTGGTTTTAAAATAGTTTTTTTTTTTTGAGATGGAATCTTGTTCTGTCACCCAGGCTGAAGTACAGTGGCCTGATCTTGGCTAACTGCAACCTCTGCCTCCCGGGTTCAAACAATTCTCCTGCCTCAGCCTCCCAAGTAGCTGGGATTACAGGTGCCTACCACCACACCCAGCTAATTTTTGTATTTTTAGCAGAGGCAGGATTTCACCATGTTGGGCAGGCTGGTCTTGAACTCCTGACTTTGTAATCTGCCCGCCTCAGCCTCCCAAAGTGCTGGGATTACAAGTGTGAGCCACCATGCCCGGTCACTTTTTTTTTTTTTTT